CTGAGAATTAACCGGCCCTTCTGACAGCTGAAAATAAATAGGGCAGTTAATGAACATCCTCAAAGTGGAGGCCATGTTTCTTCACTCTCGCTGACCTCTCCCATGTGGTGCGCGGGCGCTCTAATGGCTTTAGCTGACACCTGAGAAACTGACTTTGAGGTTGAGGGAAAAGAAGGGAGCAAATTAGAAGTCACTTCCTCTTTCCTGTAGTCCTGAGCTGACATGACTGATATCAGCCAATAAGAGGCTGTCTGGGTGGGAGCTGCAGCAGATGTGAAAACATCCCTCACCATGGCTTTAGGTAGGATCCCTTAGGAGTAAGTAACACATATCTGCTCAAAATAAACAGATTAGGGGTGAATTTAGTTATTTTAGGACAGCAAAGCATCAGATTTCTGTTACAAGGATCAGCATGAACTAAAGCGACGACTAAACAACAAACTGCTGATTTTGTTCTACAATCTGAGTAAATAAAACATGGAGCATTTACTCCATCATACCTCTGACTTTAGTCACCATGCAGAAAAATAAAACACATGCAGACCGACATTAGACCTGGGCGATAAATCGATTTAATGAATTAATTCTAATTTTTTGTTGCAGGCAATTAAAAAAAAAGTTTATCGAATTTTTATGTAATGGCGCCTTTTTGGCCCCCTGGAGCTTCCGTAGCGTTAGTTTCACGTAACCGTGACAACAACGTCACAGCGCGCACTCGAAACAGCAACAGCAAGCGACTCCATGGCCACCGGTGAGAGCGGGAAGTTTGTTCCTAAGAAAGGAATGAAATCCTCGGTTGTTTGGAGCTGGTTTGGGTTTGCTGCGACGGACGTGGAGCGTGGCTCTTTTATTCCAAGAGGGTGTTCATGTATTCATTATTCATCTCAGAAATGAAGGTTACTTTTGTCTTGCTTGTGATTAAATAAAAAAAAAATGGCTTTAAGGTGCCTTCCATTTGTACTTATTGCTATTCTTAATAATTGAGGGGGAGAGAGAATCGGGAAAAAAAATCGTAAATCGAATTTCAAAACATTTAATCGTAGATTTTGTCTTTAGACCGTATTGCCCAGCCCTAATGTTACTGACGATAATGAGACACTGCTGTGATGCTTTCAGAGCTCCTCCATTCTTCATGGTTCACACCTCCTAACGGTCTACAGACAGGCCAGCAGTGAACACACATACCATAATACAGCTCATACAGCAGCAGGGTTCTGGGCTGATTCCCCTCTAAAACACCAAAATCATCTCCCAAATCCACTAAGGAGGCCTTAACCTCACACAGAAACCAGGGATTAGCAAGGTCAATAAAAATAGCATCACATTAACGAAAACATGTTAGCCACAACCAACAAATTCCACCATTTCTTTCCTCTGAGAAAAGGTTTTACGTGCAGCTTAACATTGTTTAGTTTTTTTTTTTTAGTTCAGCATCAGTTTATGGTTTCCTCTGTTTCCCAGAGTGCATTTCCTCCTGGGTGGGGAGTTAGCTTTCATCTGTCTTTCTCTCACAGCCTCTGGGAAACTAAAACCAAAGCTGACAGGTACTGCAGCGGTTTTATGAAGGCAGATGTCACAAATACTAGAACCTGCAGAGACTCTGCTGATGTGCCATAAATATGTTTACGAACATCAATGTTCAGATTTTCACCAGACCAGCAGACTTGTGGAGACGGTAACCAGTAATAACTTAAACCTACATTTCTCTTTACTGCTGATGTAACATGAGACCGTCCCCTACAGAGGAACCAAAACGTCCCCTACAGAGGAACCAAAACGTCCCCTACAGAGGAACCAAGTCTCCTTTTTTATTTCAAGCTTTGAAAATACTGAAGGCACTAAACTACTTTGTTCACTCTAAATAACTGTTACACCGGGGGAGTTGGAGTCTGAAACCTGCAAAATACAAACATAAACAAACTGAGGGTTGAAGCTCCAAATCTAAATAACTGGAATAAGTCATGTTAGCCGTCTTATCACCCACTATCAGGTGAATAGACTTGCTACAGCGTTTGAGCTTCCATCAACCACCGGAACCAAACCATTCCAAGATGGCCGTCATGACTACAGATACTCACTAAACACATAAATGACAAAAACTACATCAATGCTAACATGTCACAGAAGATGTGACACATACAGAGCTGCAGGGATTCTCAAAGTTAATGACTCTAAAAAGTGAAGGAAACCGCAAGCTAGTGATTGTTCAGGATGCCACGTCCTGTAAAGTCATCTATAGGGAGCCTAAAGCCTGATCCATGCTTCTCCGTCAGCTCCACAAGGGACAGACACGCACGGATTGACGGAAGCGGTTTGCTCTCATACTTTTCCGTCTCCTGGGGAGCGTAGCCAAGCAATTCCCCGGCAGGACAACAGAGGGCGTAGCACTGTTCTGTGGTATCCTGTCATGTATCCGGTTCAAGATAGTGCGTTTATATTGTGGGGTTTTTTTTTTTTTGGTAAATAAGAGACTTTTTAACACAGACATATTTGTCTCTCATCCTCCTCTACCTCTTCATGCGCTCGCTACCTCCAAACCCACGTTTCCTGTCATTTCCGTCCACAAATAAAACGCTTGCGTATCTTTTCACTCCTCCAGTCCCGGGGAATTAAACGTTCATGTTTTTAGAGTTTTTTCGCGAGGTATTCTTCAAGCTTCTCCGTGTCTGCCGCTAGTTATCCTCAGCTCTCTTTATGTTTTTGAGGGCGCAATGGCGGCACTGTAGACAACAGCGGCGTCCTGACCAATCACAAGCTTGCGTTGTCCGTCTCGACTGACGGATGTTTAGAAAAGAGAGCTCGACTCCGTCCGTCCTTGCGGAGCTCTCCGGCAGGCACGCATGGAGGTTGCGTGTCTCCGCACTGATGGAGAAGCATGAATCAGGCTTTAGTCTCCTCCCTCTCCGGTCGGCTCACGGGTCCCCGGAAAAATGAAAAAACGAAAGCAAGTCAACGGGGCTAAAAAACACTATTTTCTAATACGCTTTGCCTGGCTTACGCCCTGGATCACACATATGTTGTACTGCAATTTAAATGAGAAGTAATGATGGGTGTTTCGACCACGCCAGTCATGTACTTTGAGAGTTATCAGCTTGTAAAAGTTCGTAATTAGCATGACTACACACCAGAAATCGGCATGTTGCATATGTGACATCACCACATAATCTCCTCTCCCAAAATTAGCTGCTACTTACCAAAAGACCAGATTTATGGAGGTTCTTTCCTCCTGTGGGAAGTTTGCTGAACTTACAGCCTTTTCCCTCAGTTTTCTCCGTGTCTGGTTCGATGACGTCACTTTCGTGAAGAGCATTTGTAGTCCTAGACTTATTTTCGCACAAAACCTAAAATAGCATTTCCACCTGTTCAAAAATAAGTGCGTTCTTGGTATAAAATGTGTCTTTAAAATTCAAGGACATCATATGTGAAATCCATGGTATATAACAAGCGGAATTCGAAAAAAGCCTTTTTATCCCCATTGACTTGGATTCATTTTTTCGTTCTTCCGGGGACCCGTGGTCCGGAAGTAGATGGGCGTGACTTAGGCTCCCTGTTGCACCACTATGACCATTGCCCTGTTAAAAAGTAAAAAGATTTTTTGCGGCAGACCCAGTGCAGATTGAAGAACGCATAGCAGAAAAGTCTAAAAATGTGAATGTTTATTCACTCGTGACTGAAGGAGTACAAAATATGGAGCAAACGTTTTATTCATGAACGGAAATGCCGGGAAACTTGGGTTTAAATGTGTGGAGGAGAATGAAGGGAAAATGTGTCCGTGTTATAAAGTCTCTGAAATATAAACACATTAGTAAATATACCATCATGGACCGGATACATGAGTGTTATAGTGACAGGGTACACTGAAAAGTGCTTTGCCCTCTGTTGACCTGGTGGGGAATTGCTTTGCAACACTCCCCAGATGACAGAAAAGCATGCACACACACGCGCGTGCGCGCAAACATACGCACACACACATAATATGTATTCAGCTTTTCATCAATATTTATATTTTTTATTAATATTCTATATAAAAATGTAATTTATTTATATTATATGTAAAACTAAATGAATGAATCGATGGATTATGGATGGATGGATGGATAGTGCCATACAATATGTCTCAAACTTATATTAGTTTTCATTTGCAACTATTATTTTTTAGCTTTTACATCAGCCATAGTTAAAATATGGCATACCTTACTGTAGGTACCATTGCTCTACAGGTGCTGGTCATAAAAATAGAATATCATGATAAAGTTGATGTATTTCAGTAATTCTATTCAAAAAGGAAAACGTGTATATTAGATAAATTCATTACACACAGACTGATATAGTTCAGATGTTTTTCTTTTAATTTTGATTATAACTGAGAACTAATGAAGATAACAAATTCTACATCTCAGAAAAAATCTACTTTGTCACAATATTCTAATTTAATAACCGGCACCTGTACTGATTACAAGAAAACACAATAGAGAACATAAAAATTTGTTTCCTATGAATCAGTAAATTCCATCACTTCATGAAATATATTTTCTACTGAAGCTTTTCAGACAAAGCTGCATTTTTCTGTTGCAACACAGCACCTGTTTATTCTGATTCATGATGACAGGAGTGATGCTACAGGCGACAGAGCACAAGCCCTGCTCATTCATTTGTTACTGAACTAAACAAATCTAACTAAACTAAGTCAAAAAGCCGCTGGAGGAAATAATTCCTCCCATTCTTACAGGACTAACGGGCTTCCGTACTTCCTTTTGCCGTGCCAAATCTATTAAATGCACCAGAAACACTTTATGCAGTTACATCATTTTGACAGAGTTTTCTCCTTAGATAGATTCAAACCGCTATTCTAAGCGTCTGAGAAAGTAGACAGAATATAAATCGCTTAATATGACATTTATATTAACGAGTTCGGTCCGCTTCGAACACGAGAGCGTGAAAACACGAATAAACACAAGATATAAAAACAGGTTTTCTTCTTATTTCTCCACAGCTCGTACCTGGTTTTTCGGAGACATCGCAGCGCAAAATGACCTTTTCCAGTAGTTAGACTTCGGAAGGAAACTAAACAGAAACTTCAGATTATTCCGACAGGGCAGCGCCATATTGGTTTGGCTAGACTCCCACTACGGTGGCTGTGAAAGGACAGAAAGCTTCAGCTGGCGAAAAGAAAAATAAATAAAACAATGGGTGATTACTAATTAATCATTTTCTAAAACCTCATTTGATAAAAATGAGGAAAAACTTCAAAACACATTTTATTTTGTTTTAAACCCCATTGCTGCTTCAAAGTAAAATAACTGGTTTAGGAAATCATTCCAACAACATGCAGCCTACCTTCTCTAAAGGAAATCTTTAAATGGTAAAAATGATCACACTAATAACTTAAGCCTCACATACATTTATAACTAATATGAATGTAATTTTATTATGATTGGCAATATTTAGTTTTTTATATATCACTTTTCCACCATAAAATTGTATAACTTTGTCTATCAGATAAGAGATTAATTGCTGGTTTGAGGGCATTTATTTCATTTTACTGGACAAAGAAGAAACTTTTATTTGATGAATCTAAGCAGTACAAGATCCCACCTTTTTTATCTAGAATTTATTAATTATTTCGTAATGAATTTGAAAAAACAAATGAATCAAACATAGAAAGTATATTTGTGTGGATGACTGTTGGAAAACCCTCAGCTGCTGATTGGTTAAAATGAGACAAGCTGAAACCTTCTGGTTTCTTTGCTGTGATGTACGTCAGCTTTCTTCACTAATGCATGTGTGAGCTCTGCAGCCTATAGAAGAGGAAGATATGCAGCTACACACACTCCCACCACAACATGTACAGTAGGCTATAGAAATGTGTCAGACATGTGTGGTTTCCTCGTCTCCATGTTAATTAAGTGGTGTTGTGTCTGACTGCTTGCTCAACAACCAAATTTCCCAGCAGCAGCTGCACAGCTCCTCTCTTCTATACCATACCTCATTACAAAGTGGCGATATACACAGAACAAGTGATTATACTTCATGCTGGGTAAGGTTACAGCATGTTTGCAGGGCACAGGGACTTCTCATTTCTTAAACATCTGCTGCTGATTTTTCCCCTCCACCTTATGCATCTGGTTGCATTTGCAGAACAAAACTATCATTCCATATTCATTAATATTTCCTGAGGCGCTGAGGCTGAGCTCTTTGGTGTGTTCTCCCACGCCTGGTTGATGGGAGATCTTAGTTTGGTGGAACTTAGAGAAAGGGTTTGTTTGGTGTGTGTGTGTGTGTGTGTGTGTGTGTGTGTGTGTGTGTGTGTGTGTGTGTGTGTGTGTGTGTGTGTGTGTGTGTGTGTGTGTGTGTGTGTGTGTGTGTGTGTGTGTGTGTGTGTGTGTTTGTCTCAGATCCTGTTTTCTGGCCACCCAGGAAAGAATGCTGTTCCTACTTCATCTTTTCTCACCCTTTTCTTTGTTTCCTCATCTGTACTTTTTTCTAAGAATAATAAAAATAAAAATAAACTACACATAATTATTATGCTTTTTGTTTTTTGAAACCTCATCAATACATTTCCTGTGATACTGGGGTGAGTTCAGTAATTTTCTGGCAAACACATCCTGCAGCCATCTCTGCAGAGTGAGATTCATCCTGTTAATGTAATACCACAACCATCTAATTACCAGGGCTAAATAAAATGTTTACCTCTATTTTTTAGTTGACATGATGCACAAAATCTGATCATGAAGGAAATATGTAAAGGCTTGGGATTTATTCTTATGTCATCAGACTGACAGGATTTTTCCTCACAAGACTTCAGATAACAATGGGGCTGGCTGGCTGGTGCCTATCTCCAGCGGTCAATGGGCAATCAGACGGGGTACAACCTGGACTGAGAGTCAGCCCTTTGCAGGGCAACACAGAGACACACAGGACAAACAAACAAACAAACACACACACACACACACACACACACACACACACACACACACACACACACACACACACCTAAGGACAATTTAGACAGACCAATCAACCTAACAGTCATGTTTTTGGACTGTGGGATGAAGCCGGAGTACCCGGAGAGAACCCACGCATGCACAGGGAGAACATGCAGACTCCATGCAGAAAGATCCCAGGCTGGGAAGCAAACCCAGGACCTTCTTGCTGCAAGGCAACAGCTCTAACCACTGCACCACTGCACATCCTTGGGTTCAAACATATAAGGTTGAATGCCAGAAGTTAGGAAGATACTAGCTGCTACCAGCTGCTAATGCTACACACCGCTGCTGTAACTGTAGCTGTGTGGTTTGGGCTGAGTCTGAGGCCTTCTGGGGATCCAACCAATCAGCAATCAGCTCATTAACATATTCATGTCCTGGCCGAGTGGGGGGGTAAACAGCTCTCTTCAGAGCAATACTGAAACTGGGAAGTTTGAATGTCCTGTATCACGGCTCCTGGGACAGATGAAAGCTGAAAGAAATATTTTTATGTTTTTTAGAGGCTCAAAGCCCAGTTTTAGACTGCTGATTAACTTGTTGGTCCCCTTTAAAAGCTAGCTTGTTTCACAGATTTGCTATTGCAGTTCTGATCAGTGGTTGATATTTATCCAGTCAATATTTTCTGAGAATTTTATAAATGGGTCCAATGACTCATTTTGACCCCAATCACACACATGTACACAGTAAAAAAATCTACCTCCATTTCCATTGGCCATAATAATAAATATGAATATCTTTATATCGTTTCAAAGAAGGTAATGGTGAAGAGGCTCTTTAACGTGGTCGAATCCATCCATCACTCAGTGAGGAGCTGAGAAACAGAAACAAAAAGTCAGCAGTCTGATCTCCTGAGAGAAACAAGAGGAAAGCCAGGTGGTGAGTGAGGACTTGTTGCTTTCATGACTAATCCTTTCTGCTTTCACCATGGAAGTGATCTATTCTGCTCGCTAATCAAGATCTCAGATATCATCACATCTCCCTTTTTACCGTCAACATCACCTCATCCTGCTCGCTGGATTTAATTATCTTTACCGTAATCGTCCCTAAACTCTCTGTTCCTCCAAGCTAGAAACATCACACACAACGTGTAGAAAACATACACACACATTTATGACAGCAGCCATCCTGAGCTGAGTGGGGTTGTTGGTTTGGTAGAAACTGAAGCTCCACCTGTCATAATACAGGAGGCAGAGCAAGTGTGGGGAGGCGGGGGTCCCCATGCTGAAAGACAGGCTCTCCCCTCTGACACCTCAGGCCTTCCGAGTCCACAGGACGTCCACCACCCAAGTGGTTAGATGGGCGGATGGATGGAGAGACAGCCAGCAGAATGATGGACACTTTGACAAGCAGATGGACTGAAGAACCAGAGGGGTCATGAGTCACATGATGACCTGCACACTAGAGAATTCAAGTTGGCCGATGGAGTGCTGACCTCAGGAGGGATGCCTCAGCAAACATAACAAACATCCAGGAACCAAGAGATGGTGTAAATCAGCAGAGGAGGTTCTGTAACGGTGTGGATGCTTCCTCACCTCTACCAGCATGAACACACGTCCAACACACCTAACAGCACTCACCTCTGAAAAATGGGACACTAGCGGCTGTGCTAATGAGGCAGGGCTGAATCCACCGTTTGGGTCTGTGTTAACAGTAAAAACAGTGATGTTTGCACAGTAAACAGGAGAGCAGAGAGGGCACAGGTGTGTTAACGAAGTCTCCTCGTTAGCTTTCCTAAAGAAAAGCCAGCGTGCTCAGCAGCAGAAATGGAATGCAGCCCTCGTTAATTTGTTCCTTTTTATGAGTAAACATTTCTGCTGCAAAAGTAGAAGAATAAATCAAGATATCAGTTACCCTGAGAACACAAAAGCCTCTAACGCTGTAAAAACGAGAAACCAAAGTAGTAGCACAGTAGTAGTAGTAGTAGTAGTATTACTTAAATCATTCACTGTGTAACGTCACCAAATGGACTGATTTTGAGATCCCACAGTTCATGTGCACGTCCAGAGCAAATAACCCTGGTTACACACGTTCTGCTGTATTTTACCCTGACAGGAGATGGAATGTCTGCACGCAGGGGCTTTAATCAGATGACTTCATCAGCTGAACTGAAGCTTCATCAGATAATAAAGATGACAGTAGCATTCCTTTCCCCAAGGTTCCTCACAAGAGAACTTCTAAAATAAACTTTTATTCCCAGAAGAAAAGAAGATTTCATAATATAAGTAATTATTTTATTTTTCAGAATAATCCTTGAAGAAAAGAAGATCTTACAATTAATAATCACTAAATATTGCCAAGTATAATTATAAATGATGAAATGTTTCACGAATTTGTTCAATGCTAAGTATGTTTACTGGATTAGATCACTCACACCAGACAAGAAGTAAGGCTAAATTAAGAAGCATTACACATAAACTAACCTTGTTTCGCAGACTCGGCGGCTCTGCATCACAGAGAGTGCGTCCTGAGAATTCTTGATGACTTTGGTAATAGATAAACAGCGGGCTATAAAACCAGCCGCTCTGTTCCAACCTCCAACAGAATGAGGGTAGGAGAGCAAAGCTTTAAGACTGGCCATCTTTAGCTGAGCTACCAAAGGATTTTGACACACTGTCAAAACCTTAAGCTTTTGCACCTGCAAAGCTGAGGACAAAGAGAGATTTTTCCTGCAGAACAAAGCTGATTTTGCAACACTCCTTCAGAGTTATTTTGAGACGCTTGGTTTCATCCAGTCCCCCTGTGTTACCTGGAGCGATCCTGGTCGTACTAGGAGTTAGTCTACGGACTTCTGTACCTGGGATCTCCAACCCCCTGGCATCTCGGATCCGCAAGGGCGTCTCCACTTGGGTACGTAGAACACAGTGAGATAGCGTCTGTATGCAGTTTGATAAGAACAGCTTACAGCTGAGCTCAGATGCAAACCAAATTCTTTTATTATCCAGAACTCACCTCTCTCTGAGATACGGAGACTTTGACTCTGAAATTCTATAGTCACACCTAATTCCAGACACCCATCTCTTAGTTCGCATCCACTCACAGTAAATAATAGTTTAAACCATTTGTCAAGGCTTAAAATTGTTAAATTAATTATTATTTGTTTGCAAACCTGACTTGTTCTTGAAATCCTTAACAAAGTGATGACAGTCCCTGAATGAACAAAGCGTCTT